AAAGAACTGATATGTGCAAAAATATTTGTGAACAGCACCCTTGATTGAAGCAAAGAACCAGAAACAGAATAGGTATTGGCTGACCAAACTGTTTCATATGAATGTGATGGTACTATATTGCCAGATTCTTGCTAAGGTGGCTGCCTGAATGGGAGGCAGGCTACCAAATTCCCACATACTTCAGAAAAACTCAAGTTCCCAGCAGACTAGATAATGCTCAAGAAATCTAACAAGAAACTATGGTAAGTGATATCTTCCTCTCCTGAACTGCAAAAAAATCAGCCAGTCCCCCACACCAAAGCAAAAACCAGCACAGAGTAGCCTCTCAGCTCAACCAGGATCAACCAGGAGCACATATAGCTTACAATACTCTGTGTCTGAATGTAGTAAGAACCAACAACTACCCTGAAAAACCCTGTGGGTGGAAACCTTTGAAACACCAGAAAGCAACAGCTGGCAGCCATCAGCATGAAATCAGACTAGCATAGTACAACAGCACTCAAACTGGGACACTCCAGTGGCAGACACTGAGGTCCCTAACACTGAGACACCAATGAGAACTCTGATGATCCAGGGGAGCTGAACTCCAGTGCAAGAATATAGGGGACCCTGGGTATGATCAAGTAGAGATGACCACACATGAGCACATCACAGGCCAGAGACAGGATCTGGCAAAATTCCTGTTTCATGAATGAAAGCTGGAAAGATGAATAAATCAAAGAAAACATCATCATTGAATATCATAAATTGCAAATCAGATTCTATAACAATTGCAATCAGACACTCAAAGGAAAAAATAGATTTTCCACCAGCATATGAATATCTAGAAGAAATGAAGCAACAGATAAAAAAACATTAAAATGAAGTAAAAACTCCTGAGGAGATAATTGAGAGAAGAGTAAGTAGCTTAGAAGAAAAAGTGGTAAACATTATCCAAGAAATGGAATCTCTAAAAACTAGAATAGACCAAATGGTAAATGAATGACTCCATGAGACAGCAAGATATTAAAACAAAATCAGGATAGAAAAAAAAAAAACAGAAGAAAATGCAAGCTATCTGACATCAAAAATTACTGAACCAGAAAATAAGTGAAAGATTAAAATTTCATTAGACTTCCTGAAAACCATGATTTGTTTTTTAAAGCCTAGACAATATATTTCAAGAAAACATCAGTGAAAACTGCCTAGATCTATTAGAAGCAGAGGGCATTGTAAAGACAGTAAGAATCCACTGATAATCTTCTAAAAGGAACCCCCAAAGGAAAAGTCCCAGGAATGCCATAGCCAAAATCCAGAAATCTCAAGTCAAAGAAAAATCTTACAAGCATCCAAAAAGAAGCAGTTTGTGTGCCAAAGAACTATAGTCAGGATCACACAAAATCTAGCAACTTCCACTAAAAAAATAGAGGAAATCTTTCAATACAGTCTTCTCAAGGGCAAAAGATAATAGGCTCTCAACCAAGGTAACAACTTATCCTGAAAAGTTGAATAAGTTTAATGAATAATAGCAGGACTTCTTAACTCGGAGTTCATGAACTTCTTTAAAAATATATTTTATAACTATTTTAATGCAATTAGTTTCCTATGTGATGCTATGTATTTTATTGTATGCATTTAATAATATTCTGAGAAGGGGTCCAAAAGTTTCATCACTGGCCTCCTCATGACACCAAAAAGGTTTAGCATCCCTGTCCTACAAGGGGAAAAAATGGATCTTTAATGGGAATTTTCAGGTATTTCTGATTTTAAAAAAAAGACTAGAACTGAGTAGGAACTTTGAAATACAAATACAAGAGTCCAGGGAAACTTAGAAAGATAAATTTATTTGAGTAATTGAAAGGAGCTTTATGATGATGCTGTACTAACATTCTAATTAAAGGAAAAAAAATAGTATCCCTTCAAAACCTTATTTTTTTCGAAGAAAAACAGAGGGGGAGGAGATTGGTTTTGCACCGAGGGTTTGAACTGGAGAAAGAGAAATAAAGGTAAAAGGAATATACTAAAGTAGAAAGGAGAGAGAAGAAGATGGAACCTGTCGCTTCTTATTATTGGGGCGTATGAAAAGAAAAGTGTGCAAACATGAAGGAAGGAGCAGAGGGAGTGAGCGTAAGATGAAGCTCACTCTTACCTGAAATAGACAAGGGAGGATTGAACACACATAGTTTAGTATTGAAATACATCAGACTCAACAGGAACAGGGAATTAGGAGGGATTTGAGTTTAAGAGGAAGAATCATTCCTTGGAGGACATAGTCCCAAGCAAAACAAACTTCTTGATCCTGAAGTGAGGGAGGGAGGTGGGAATTAAAAGGTCAAAGAGGGAGAAAAAAACTAGAGGCTAAGGGAGTGCCTAAGATCTCCTCTTAGACAATCTAAAATCTGGGGGGGGGGGTGGATAGCTGAACAAATTGTGTATAAATGTAATATTATTGAGCTGTAAGAAATGATGAACCAATGTAGAATGAAGTGAGCAGAACCAAGAAAACAATTTATACAAGGACAACAGTATAAAGAAAAACAATTTAACTCTGATGAAAGCACTGACCAATCACATCTCCAGAGGATCTATAACGAAGCATGTTATCCAACCCTGACAGAAAGATGATGGACACAGAATGTAAAGAGACATACATTTTTGGATGTGGCCATTGTGTAACTTCATTTTGTTTAACCATGCTTATTTGTTACAAGTTGGGTTTCTTTTTTTTCTAACAGGTGGTTAATAAGTGAAGGGTGGTAGGGGAAAAGGGAGTTAGAGCCATTGTAACATTTTTTAAAACACACAAAAGAGAACAGAAGGAAACTTGGAAGAAAGCAGGCAAGTAGGACAGTCTTGAAAGTAAAGTATTTTAAGAATAAAAGTAAGCAGTATAAATAAAGATTCATAGTTTCATAAAGAATCCCTTTTTTTGTTCTGATTGTATAGAAATGTTTTTTTTTTTGGTGTTTAAGTTCAGAATAAGAAATAAATTAATCAATAAAATAGAGCTGTTACCAAGGGAAAAAAACAAAGAAAGAATATTGTGCCATAAGAAATTATGTAAATGAAAGACTGAAGGAGACTTTATATGAACTTACACTGATTAAAGTGAACAGGACCAGGAAAATCATTTTTACAATTACTATACCGACATAAAAGAAAACAACCTATATAAACTTTAGAATTCTGATCAATATAATAACAAATAACTTCAGAACAGATACAAATTTCAGAATAACAAATACTTTGGAAAATTAATGAGAATCATGCTTTCTGGTTCTTGGCAAAAAAAAAAGCGATGGACCAAAAGTCCAGAATGAGGCATATGTTTTCATACAATGCCGGTATGTGAATTTATTTTGCAAGACAATATTTATTTACAATGGTGAGCTTCTATTTGTGAGGGAAAGGGTAGTAGGCTGGTATTACTGATAGTGATGCAAAAATAATAAGAAAAAAAGGAAAAAAGCATCAATGAAACATTTTAAAAATGCACAGAAAGGAGCAGGAGAAAGTTCATACGGGTAAAATAGACAAGTAGGCAGTTTTATTGCTAACGTGTTAAAATTTAATATACACTTAAAAACAAATGATGTAATAGAAATACAGAGTTTTGGATATAATCCTCTTTTTCTATTCTTTGTATATTGAAGTGTTCACGTTTAATAGTGCTTGTTAAATTCATAATAACCAAGAAAGAATTGTTTAAAGGCATGTCTCATTATCCAACTCTAGTCTATCAGTTTTCTGCTAAGAAATGAGTGCCACGATTCATCATCAGTCTTCTAAAGAGGATGACTGGTCACTGACTGCATTGATCCAGGTTCTGTAGTCTTTCAAAGTTATTTTCCTTGACATTGTTGAAGCCAATAAAACAATATCGTACTTGTAGAAATTATTCTTCTAATACTGCTCACTTCACTCTGTAGCAATTCATCAAAGTCTTCCCAGGTTTTTTAGAATTTGTCTTATTTGTCATTTCTAACTGTGCAGTAATATTCCATGATATTCATACATCACAGTGTGTTCCACTATTCCCTAATTAATGAGCACCCACTTTGTTTCCAATTCTTTGCTATGATAAAAAGTTCAGTATACAGGAGTGCTTTCCCTCTGTTTTCGACCTCTTTGGTGTATATGCTTAGTATTACCTCACATACAGTTTCTTGATTTGGGGGAAGGGATAAAGCTCCAAATTGCTTTCCAGAATTATTGAAACACTCCGTAGTTCCATCAACAATGCATGAATGTGCCCGGACTCCCCCCACTCTTCCAGCGATGGCTATTTTCACCTTTTGTTATCTTAACTAATCAGAGGATTATGAGAGTTGTTTTAATTTTAATTTTTATTATTTGGGATTTGGAACACTTTTTCCAATAGATGCTAATAGCTGCATTTCCTCTTTTGAAAACTGCCTGTTCATATCTGTCAGGGAATAATTCTACAGCCCTAATTCAACAGCCAGGCTTGTGGGAGCCAAGAGGAGAACAGAATTAGAGCAGGAAACAAGAGGAAGTCCAAATGAGAGAAGAGAACAAAGCTGAGATCAGCCCTTCAGCTGAGACTAGAAAACTGGTTACCTCTTCTCCCTTCCCCCATGAGTTTCAACAGAAACTGAGTCCTCGGGTCCCCTTGATGTTGTCCCCGCTCATGACATCATGGAAACCACTACTGCTTATGTGGCCCTGCTATGGGAACTCAGAACCTTACACCCAGCTGGAGGGAGGGAGAGAGTTCACAGGAAGACTTAGGGATAGGGCTAAAGGGGAAAGGCCTCTTTGGTCCTCTTGGTCCTAGTCTGAAAGCCATGGGGGTATTCCAAGACTAGACCAGATTCTAGAAAACTGGGTTAGGAAGGACTGGTTACCATTATCCTTTCTACACTGGAGAGAAGAAAGGCAAGGATGAGGCAGGAACTCAGAACAAATTCACAGTGGGTAAGAAGGCCAAGGGCTTGAAAGAACCAGCATATTCCTCATTCCCTTTGCAAGAATCAAGCAGAGCCCAAGTAGGCATTGACTGAGTGAAAAAGTGGAGAATTTTATTGGCTAAATAACTGGGGAAGACAGTTGTTGGCATGTAGCTGGGGTGCTGTTCCAAGTCATAAATTCCAGTGCTCACTTGTTCCTAGGTCGTTTGCCTCCAATGTGGCTATATGAGTTGTCATCTCGATCTTTGAGTGGCTAAAACATAAAGAGAAGAGAGAGTAAGGTCAGGGTTTTTTTTGTTTCTTGTGTTTCTTCTCTTGAAAAAGAAATCTCTTTACAATCCAGAGACCCCAAAGCGATCATAGCTATGTATTCACATTTCTCCCATGCCATCTGTTACTAAATTCCCAGTCTATCATACAATCCACTGTCAAATCTCTTCAATCCCCTAGCCTCAGTTTCATCCCTCCACTCTCATCCCTCTTCATTACTCACCTGGTAGAGTGCATCATTCTGCATCAGAATCTGCTTGTCAAAACCTGATTAAAGAGAAACCCAGAGAAGAAGGGTCAGTAGGAGATAGCCCACAGATGTCCAGGACATGGCTGGAAGGGACTGAACCCCAAATTCTGCCTATAAGCCCACTCAGAAACATTCAGAGAATGGTACAGCCCTTACCATCCTATAACCTTTACTTCCTTTGGGTTGATCTTGTTTATTCACTATTCAATAAACATTAAGTGACTGCTAGAGAGTAATAAGACATTAACATTACCCTCAAAGAATTGAAAATCTACTAGGAATAATAAGACGTGTAGGGGTAGAAATCGGACCTGTGACTTCATTAATATAAAGAATTCCCAAGAGGAAACTCGCTGTACCAAAGCACCTTCTCTGCAGAGAACCGCCAAGAATTCTCAGTGTCACAGAGCCAGTATATGCCAAAGGCAGAACTTGAACTCAGGTCTTTCTGGCTCTGAGGCCAAGTCTCTATACACTATGATGCACAGCTTCTCATAAGACATGTACACAAATAAATGTAAATTAGGAGACAAATAGATGAGGAATATAGAACACTATAAGATCATATGAAGGAGAAATCACCTTCAGCTAAGGCAGTCATGAAAGGCTCTATGAAAGACATAGAGTTTGAGCTGGATCAATAAGTTATCAGTAGATGGGGATGTGATGGGGAGAGGGCATGTGAACAGTAGGAGTATGGAAGTATAAAAACCTAGGAGGATTTAGAGAATGGTTAGTAGCCTAGTTTGCCTGGCATATGGAGTATTTGAGAGTAAATCCTGGTACAAGGTAGGCACTTCATAAAAGGCTGTTGATTGATAGGACTTGATAAGAGAAATGAATTATGGAAGACCTTGAATCTTAACCTGTTGATGATTTAACAATGGCAACTCCGAATGTCTTTTTTCTTCAAGTCTCCAGCTCCATCCTCTCCAGATCACTCTCAGAATATATCCTCACCTCCTACTTTATTTAGAAAGTTGAGGCAATCTAATGTGGATTCCCTAATCTTCACTTCTCCATTCTGTTAACACCCTCAATGTCCTTACCTAGTTTCAGAAGAAATAGTTATCTTATTTGCCAAGACTCACTTTTGCCCCTCAGTAGGCTAAACCCTGCTATTCCCATAATCTCGTTCCATCTACAGCTTAATAAATGCTTTTTCGTTCACTCTTTCGCTCATTCATTCATTCATTCATCTGTCATTCCCTCTTTTTCATGTATCTTTAATCTCTCCTCTCCTCTGGTTCCTTCCTTTTGTCTATAAGCATTCTCAGATCCCCTCTTTTCTAAACAAAAAAACAAAAACAAAAACAAAACAAAAACAAAAACAAACAACAATAACAACAAACAAACAAACCAAAAAACAAAAAACAAAAAACCCTTCCCTTGACTTCACTAACCAAAGAGGCAAGAATGGGTAGTGGAAAGAATGCTAGATTTGGAGTTGAAGGATCTGGGTTCAAATCCTAGCTCTGCCACATACTATGAAGTGTGATTTTGAGCAAGTCACTGCCTCTCTCTGGGGTTCAGTTTCCTCATAGGGAAGCAAAAATTACAATGTAATTGTAATGTAAAATGAGGCTACGGGACTAGACATAAGGTGTTTTCCAAGTTTAAATCTATAATCTCATGACTTATCATACTCTCCCCTCCTCCTTCAGGGCCAAAAGGAAGGGTCTACACAGGCTGGCTCTACTTCCTCACCATCTGCTCATTCCTCATCCTCATATAATTTGACCTCTGTTCCTAGTATACTACTAAAAGAGTTCTCTCTAAGAAAACTAATGACTGCTTACTGCTAACCTAATCTGTCCTCATCTTTCTCTGACCTCTCTGTGTATCCTGTTGAACACCTCTTCTTTCTTGACATTCAATCCTCCTTTGGCTTCTGTGCACTTGGCTCTTCCACCATATCTCTGACTACTTACTCCTCTTTCACCCTTACTCCTCTTTCTATACTTTTCCCCTTACTAAACTCCTCTACTCTCATAGTTTCAATCATCACCTCCTATTTAAATAATTCCTATTAATGTATTTCCACCCAAATTTTCCCTTACAGCTCCACCTACCTGCTAGAAATCTCCACCTGGATGTCCTGTCAACCCCTCAAACTCAACATGTCCAAAACTGAACTTATCTTTCCCCTAAACTTGTTCTTTCCCCTTCACCTCTATTCCTATCGATGGTACCATCATCTTCCCAGAATTACTGGGAAGATGAGTAACCTCAGAGTCAACTTTGACTTTCCCCTCTCCCTTATTGTCTAAATCCAATTAGTAACCAAGTCCTGTTGATTCCACTCCAGCAACAACTCTGTGATCTATCCCCTTCTTTCTACTCTCACTGCAACCATGCTGGTTAAGGCTCTCATCTCTTCATGCCTAGATTCTTATGATGACCTCCTATCAGCTCTTCCCGACTCCACTTCAGTCTTCTTCCAATCCATCCACGACACTGCTGTCCAAGTAAGCTGACTAATGAACCACTGATCAAGTCACCCCTCTGCTCAAAAATTTTCAGTGTCTCTTTATCACCTATCAAATACAGTATAAACTCTTGACACTGGCATTCAAGACCGCTGCAACCTGGTTCCTACTGGTTTTCCGGTTTACCATACTATTTCGTATTTATATCATAATTCACTTATCCTACATTCTACCCAAACAAGACTGCTTTCGTTTTCTGTTCTCATTCTGCCTTTGATTCATAGTTTAGTAGAGCTAATTGGAAAGAACCATAGAAATTATCTATTCCAAACCCCTCATTTTCAGATGAGAAATCTGAAACCCCAAGCAATCAAATAATTTGTTCAAGATCAACAAAGCAAGTAAGCATCATAGCTGATACTTGAACCCATGTCTTCTATCTCCTAATTTGGTGTTTATACCATGCAGCTTTCTTCTCTAGTCTTCATGCCTTTGGCCCCATATTGATCTGTTCAAATTCCTCTCTTCTCTCAAGTGCCATTTCCTTCTCTATGAAGCCTTGTCTGTCCCCTAGCCCTATCCACATAGCTGAAACTGGAAATGCTATCTCCCTGATTAAATTGATCATAGTTCTTTTCCTGGACATCTCCCTTATATCCTTGTGATCTGTATCTATTTATTTCCCTGCCCATATTAAATTATAAACTCTTTGAAAGTGGAATCTACATCATATCTATGTATTTCTAATACCTACACTGAGTAGGTAATTAGTAAGTGTTTGCTGAATTAAATTTATTCTGTAGGCAACGGTAATTAAATAGTGACTCATTAAGCAGTGGAGGGGGGAGGGAGAGCATCCCAAGAAGCACATGTGGGGATAAGCCTGTGCTATGACCCCTTGATAAAGGACATGCATGACCATCCTCATAGGTCTTGGTGAATCCTCATAACAAAGCTTCATATTAAGAAATTAATCTGGCAGCAGTGGGACCAGCAAGGGAAAGCCTGGAAGAAGGAGCCCCATGGAAAACCTTGGTTATGAATAGTTGAACCTAAAGGATGCCAACTTTGTCCCCTCCCCCTTGCACTAGCTTGTGCATGTCAAAGCTCCTCCAACTTACCTGCTGGAAGACACCCCTCCTCATGCCCTGCAAAGCAGTAGACTCCAATAGCCAGAATAAATGTAGCAATAACATCAGCAACCAGAATACCGATCAGGGAGCCCGAGTTCAATTCCACACAGTTCTGGCACACTGTGGAGAGGGAAAGGACACATGCCCTCTCAGTGCCAGGTAATGCTCCCTGATGGACTCCCTTGCCACCTCAGGACAGAGGCCCCAGCCCAATGCAAGACCACTTCTCCCTCACAATAACCTCTCATCCCAAAAATGTACAGGGAATACCCTGAAGCTCTCAGCTTTGGGAAAGATGAACCAGACAGTTTTCTTAACCATGCCACAAGCTCCAGATCCTAAGTTGTTTCCCTAAACCTCATCCAGAGAGCTGAGCTTTCTCCCTCACTCTACTAAAAAGGCATGTTTTGGTTCACACGGATTACTGTCTCAGCTCAAAAAGACTTGGATTCCACCCCTTAACATACAGAGCTCTCCCTACCCCCCAGCCAAGAAGCTCACGGTCATTACAATTAGGAGGAAAGGGGTCAGGGGACAGGGTGGATGTAGGGAAGGGATTGATGCTCATACTTCGATAATAAACATGCAGGACAGGGGACTTCTTGTCCTTGGCATCAGTACATTGATATGTTCCTCGGGGATCCTGGATTTTTCTTCCCAAGTCCACACTTTTATTGCTCGGATAACTCTTTTTTGATGATTCCTCCAAGGCCACCCATGAGAAATCCGTGCCATTGCACTTCAGAAATATCTTGTCCTCAGATTCCACCACTGATATGGATAAGGATTTGTCTAGGGAAACAAAAATTACAATTATGGAGCCCCTAAAGCCAATAGGCAAAGTGGGGAGGGAGACGGGGAGAAGGGAGGAAAGCAGTGAAAGGACCGTTCTTCACTTCTGCCACTCCTGTTAATGAGTCAACAGCCAATCAATATTGGGGACTGAGTCCTCATTGTGTTTTCGGTAGATCCAGGGAAAGGAAGAGACACACAGTCCCTATTCTCCAAGGAGATCAAAGTCTAATGACATACATCAATTAGCGAATAGCTAAACCAATTATGGTATATGAATGTGATGGAATACTATTGTGCCATAAGAAATTATGAAAGGAATGGTTTCAGAGGAACCTAGGAAGAGACTTCCATGAACTGATGCAAAATAAAGGATGAACAGAAACAAGAGAATAATTCATACAACAACAGAAATGTTTTGAAAATTAACAGTGTTATTTAAGAATTCTGATAAACACAGTGGTCAGCCATGGCACTAGAGGACTCCAGATGAAGAATGCTGCCACTCCTTGACAGGCAAGGTGAGAGAATCAGAGTGCAGACTGAGACACACATTTCTGGACCTAACCAATGTGGGGATCTGCTTTGGTTGGCTATTGTGTTACAGAAAGAGAGAGAGAGAGAGAGAGAAAGAGAGGGGGCAAGGATGGAGGGAGGGAGGAAGGAAAGACGGAGAGAAGGAAAAGAAAGAGAAAAAAGAAGGAAGGAATCTAGGCAGGACTTAGGCAGACAGAATGGACTTTTGGTCACTCAAAAAGCAGAATGAAAACAGAGACATCATAAACTGAATAAATGTGCACTGGTGGGGGGAGAGGGGCTCACAGCATCAGAGAATCCCCCAGCCTTTGCCTGAAGATTCCCAGTGAGGGAAAGCCCATTATCACTTCGGGATAGAGATAAAGCCAGAATTTACTTCTTTTTAACTCCTCCCCACAGCTCTTGGTTCTGCTCTCTGGGGTTAAGCATTCAGTCTTACTCTTCTTCCCCATGATAGCCCTTCAAATACTTGAAGACAGCTCTCATGGCCCCCCTAAATCTTCTTTTCTTCAGGATAAACATCCCCAGTTGGATGAGTTTCATCTGGGAAGATTTCCAGGAGGAAGCGAGAACAGATTTAAAGTGGGAGAAGGACTTTAATTGAAGATTGAGGCAGACAGACCCCTGCTGAAGAAGTTTCTCCAATTACACCACTCCCCAACCAGGATGCCCCTGTTTTACAGGATGATTTATATTTACTAGTTCCATAAAACATACATACTCCCTTTCCCTCTCTCATTAGTTTCCTTTGCCCACCCCTGCCCCGCACCAAAAAAAGATAAAAACACTGAAGGAAGGATTTCTCTTGGTCAAGGTGAGACCAGGGCACGTGATGGCTTGCAGAGACCTTAAGGGTTTAGGGTGAACAACCACTCACCTCCAAACCACTCAATTCCCACTATTCACAGGCTCTAATTCTCTAGAATCCAGTAATATTTTGTCTGCCCAGTGCCAGAGAATCCAGATAACTTACCTCCATCATCTGCCTGGACCACAGAGCCTGTGGAAAGAAAGAACACAGATTCAACTGGGCAGAGTCTATTCAAAACACAAAAAACTGCCCTGACAGTCCTGAGGAGACTTTTCTATTTGGTTCAACAATTTTGTTGTTCTTTCCTTCCCCTCAATATACCATTAGAAGTTACAGACACACACACACACACTAACACACACACACACACACACACAATTATAAACTCCTCAAGGAAGACACCTTTCTTGATCCTTAGTAAGGGTGGGGGTCCACACGTGTGGAACATTGAGTGCTGATTGATTTTGCTGAATTCTCCCTCCCTTCTCTTAAAATTCTCCCTCCCCTTCTCTTAAAAAAAAAAAAATCTTTGTTATAAGGGGATGGATCCCTGAAAGAGATAGAGGAAGCAATATTGGTGATATAAAAATAAAAAGATACCAGCAAAAAAATTATTTTGAAACTAAATTCCTCAAGGACAGGTGTCATGCCCCTCTGACAGCATCTTAATTTAACCCTTATCTGTGCTTAATAAATGCTTGTTAAATTGAACTGAATTGAGTTTTCATGAGTTGGGCCCTAGATCTCCAGGGGCAGGAGGCAGGAGGGGAAGGCGATAAAGATTCAGTGAGACATTTTTCCAGCCTAAGACAACTCAGAAGGTTGGCAGGAGAGATCTGTGACATGGGTGGTAGGATCCAGCCCAAAGCACATGGAAGCAACACCAGCAATGGGCCTTGGAGGTGATTGTTATAGTGGTGGCAGCAGCATCTTAGAGATTACAGAGGGTGCTTTGCTGTTACTGATTGATAACTCTATTCCCTATATAAAGTTCTGGATCCCACTTCCAGGGTGGGAAGGGGCACTTGTGATCAATCACAAGGGAACAGGAGCTCTGGTCACAGTTCCAAGGCAGAGAGGAGCACTAATGTTTGCGGTTGCAGGAGAACAGGGGACCTTATCACCATTTCAGGGCCAAGAGGCCCTAGTGCTTACATCTGCAGGGGACCAGAGGCCCTCCCTAGGTAAAGACAAGAGTACAGACCAAGAGAGCCATAACCCACCTCTCCCTGGATCACACCAACTTGGAAGCACCAAAAACTTACAGACTCCCCAGAACTAGCTCTAAAAACAGAAGTATGAAAAATCCTAAAGTTCGGGATAGTGCTTCCCCACTCCCAGGTGAGCAGAATCCAATTTTAACATAAAGTTCAGTCAAGAAAGAGGTTGAAAAATGAACAAACAACAACAACAATAACAATAACAACAACAACAACAACAACAAACTTGACCATAAAAAGATAATACAGTGGCAGGGAAGACCAAGATATAAATTCAGAAGAAGACAATAATGTGGAAATGGCTACAACCAAAGCCTCAAAGAAAAATGCTAATTGGACCCAAGCCCAACAAGAATTCCAAGAAGAGCTAAAGGAAGAGATAAGAATGTGAAGGAAAATTTGGGAAAATAATGCTTTTAAAAAACAGAATTGGCCTAATGGTAAAAGAGGCACAAAAATTCACTTAAGAAAAGAAATCCTTAAGAAGCAGAATAGATCAAATAGAAAAAGGGGTACAAAAATTCACTGAAGAAAAGAACTCCTTAAAAGCAGAAATGACCAAATGGAAAAAGAGGTACAAAAGCTCAGTAAAGAAAATAGCTCCTGGGGCAGCGAGGTGGCACAATGGACAGAGCTCCAGCCTTGGAGTCAGGAGGACCTGAGTTCAAATCCGGCCTCTGACACTTCACACTTACTAGCTGTGTGACCCTGGGCAAGTCACTTAACCTCCATTACCTCACCAAATAGGAAAAAAGGAAGAAAGAAAGAAAAAAGAAAAGAAAATAGCTCCTTAAAAATTAGAATTGGACAAATGATAGCTAATGACTTCATGAGACATCAAGAAACAAGAAAACAAAGTCCAAAGAATTAAAAAAAATAGAAGAAAATATGAAATATCTCATTGGAAAAACAACTGACCAGGAAATAAATTAAGGAGAGATAATTTAAGAATTATTGGACTTCCTGAAAGCCTTGATCAAAAAAAGAGCCTGGACGTCATATTTCAAGAAATTATCAGGGAAAACTACCCCAATATCCTAGAACCAGAGGTTAAAATAGAAATTGAAAGAATCCACCAATCTCTAAAAGAGATTCCAATTCCCAGGAATATCATAGCCAAATTCCAGAACTCCCAAGTCAAGGAGAACATACTGTAAGCAGCCAGAAGGAAATCATTTAAATACTGTGGAGCTACAGTCAGTATCACACAAGATTTAGCAGCTTCCACATTAAAGGAGTGCAGGGATTGGAATATGACATTCAGGAAGGCAAAGGAACTAAGACTACAATCAAGAATCACCTACCTAACAAAACTGAGTATTATCTTTCAGGGTAAAAAAAGGATATTTAATGAAAGAGATCACTTTCAAGCATTCCTGATGAAAAAACCAGAGCTGAATAGAAAATCTGACATTCAAACACAAGATTCAAGAGAGGCATAAAAAGGTAAACATGAAAGAGTAATAATAAAAGACTCAATAAAGTTAAACTAATTATATTCCTATATGGGAAGATGATACATATAACTCCTAAGAACTTTATCATTATTAGGGCAGTTAGAAAGAGTCTACATAGACAGAGAGCATGAATGTGAGTCAATTATGTTGAGATGATCTCCAAAAAAAAAAAAAAAAAAAAAAAAAAAAAAAAAAAAAAAAAAAAATGAAGGAGTGAGAAAAGAAGGGAGAAGGGAGAGGTAAAATGGGGAAATTTTTCTCACATAAAAGAGGCTTGCAAGGAAGAGCTTTTATAATAGAAAAGGAAATGGGGAGGAGAGTAGCGGGCAATGCTTGAACCTCACTCTCATCAAAATTGGTTCAAAGAGGGAAGAATATATATACACAATCAGTTGGGTATAAAAATCCATCTTACTCAACAGAGACATAAGAGGGGAAGAGGATATGAGATATGGGGTAGGGGAAGACTAAAGGGAGGGCAGAATAAGGAAGATAGTGGTCAGAAGCAAAACAGGCTTTTGAGGAGGGACAGGATAAGAAGAGAGAGAGAAGGATAAACAGAAAAAAAATAAGATGCAGACCACCACCTTTCTGCTAGGACTTTACCTGAGGCATGTTGCAATTAACTAGAAACAAAGCTCATTTTACTTCACAGTAATATCTGACATTTGTGTAACTTCAATTACATTTTAGATTGATTCTTTCCTGAGGTGGTTTCCAGGGCTATTCTAGTCTCTGTGATAAGATGAAGATCTCTATGAAGATGAAGACATCTTAGTATCAGCCACCCCTTCACAAAATATCTCTCAGGGTGAGTTTGATAGTTTCAAGGTTAGTTTAAATAAATGTGAATTCAAAGGAGCTATCTATAATGAAAAGGTTTAACCAGGGTCCTCTTTTTTTTTTAAGTTCTACCATCTTTCTTTGTCATCTCATCAGTCCACTTGGGTCCAATTATCATCTCCATGCAGAGGATTCCTAGATCCATATGGCCATCTCTAGTCTCTCTAGTCAGGAGAGACTAGTTTCTTCTTGCTGTTCCTCAGATAAAACATTTCATTCCCCACCTCCATGCCTTTGCAAAGGCTGCCCTCCATCCCTGGAATGCCCTCCCTTGTCATTCTACCTCTTAGAATCCCTTAGTTTCCTTCAAAGCTCAGCACAAATGCTACTTCCTACATAAAGCCCTTGTGGATCCCTTCAGCTGATGGATCCTCCTTGTGAAGTTACCTTGTATTTATTTTGTTTATATTTATCTGTGTATCTGTCACTTCTCCCCAAAAGAATGTAAGCTCCTTGAGGTCAGGGACTGTTTCATTTTGTCTTTGTAGCCCTAATGTCTAGGATAGTGTTCAATAGATTGTAAGGGTATACTAAATGTTTGTTGATCGACTGGTTGCTTGATATGTGGTACAGTCTTGTTACATTAGCAGAGAAACAGAGAGGGAGAAAGAGACAGAGACACAGAGACAGAGAGTCAAAAAGATGGAGGGAGGGAGGGAGAGGGAGGCTAAGAATATCCCCTGATGCCAAAGGAATTAAACTAACCCCTCTGTTTACAACCTTATTTGAACTATTCATGATCAAAGACAGCTAGGATTTGTTTATTCCAGACTGGAGCATCCAGTTACCTTTGTCTACCTCAGGTAAAATCCAAGAGGGAGATTAGGGGGTGGGAAAGAAACAAGCATTTATTAAATGCCTACTACTATGTGTCAGAGCAGCTAAATGGCACATTGGATAGAGCACCAGGCCTGGAGTCAGGAAGACTCATCTTCTGAGTTCAAATCTCACCTTAGATACTTACTAGCTGTGTGACTCTGGACAAGTCATTTAATTCTTTTTGCCTCAGTTTCCTCATCTGTAAAATGAGCTAGAGAAGGAAACGGCAAACCACTCCAGCATCTTTGCCAAGAAAACCTCAAATGGGTTCATGAAGAGTCAGACACGACTGAAATAACTCTATAACAACTATGTGTCAGGAACCATACTACATGTTTTACAAATATTATCTTATTTGATCCTCACAACAACCCTGCAACAACCCCACTATTATTATTCTCATTTTACAATTTCCTCAACTGAGGTTAAGTGACTTGCCCAGGGTCACACAGCTAGCAAGTATCTGCAGTTGAATTTGAATTCAGGTCTTCCTGACTCCAGGCCCAGTGCTCTATCCCCTATACCACATAGCTGCCTCTAGCAGAGGTTCCCCCAACCCCCTCAAATGTCTGTGTGCTATCCAGAACTAGTCTTTTGCTTAGACCACTTGGTTGCCACAGACTCTGATATCCAGAGCAAAACAAGGACAGGGGATGGTGATAATATGTTTTATATCCTTTTTTATATGAGTGAACATTCCACTAGTGGTTCGTCTGCTATCAGTAAATCTTGTAGTTAGATCAACTTGGTGTGAGGCTGTGTCTCCTCATTTGCAACATGAAGGTCATGGGCCGGATGACCTCTACAATCTCTCCTAGCTCTGAATCTACGATTTTAGGGAAATTACATCTTTTGAACTCCTCAAACCTGATGTAAATATTCTGTTCTTATTTCATGTTGATTATTATTATATTTAAGTCACAGTATGGTATTTTCTGACCCTGTGTTCTAGGAACTAACTATGAAATGCAAGGACATCATCTATATAATCCAAAAGGCTATGCTTCTTGAATTCTTCAAGTCTTGGTTTAAAGACACCAAAGATGCAAAGATCTTCTTTTTCAGATTTCTAAGGCATACCTGGCCCCTCAGAGAACTACAGTTATCCCTTCCCCATCACAATTTTCCCCATTGTGGTTTCGATATATCACAGGTCAGCATAAGAAATTAAAGGGGAATTTTTTGAGAGTTCTACGGAAACTTCAGACAACATTCAAAGGCCAGCAAACGATACACAAAAAGTTTAGAAACTCAGGGATGCATTAAATATATGTATAGTATGGTATAATAGCAACATATTTTATCTTTTAATACCATAATAATTCAGATGTCTTCTCTGGTACGAAGGGAAGGTCAAAAAATTGTACATGGATTTTCCAGATCGCACCACTAACCCCTGTGATAGGGAAGGGATAACCGTACTTCACATGGAAACTTCAGCTACCCCAGGGTGGTTAGTCACCTCTCGATTTGTCCCAGCCATCTAAATTATTAGTTTGATAGTACAAGACTCCCCACCACCATGCACACACTCATACACATAGCACAAACTCAACACTAAAACAACTTGAATCATAGTCACTTTCTGGAAAACTGTAGACCTCTGGCTAGGAGCTAGGCCACAGAGAGAAGAGGGAGATGGAATGTCTGACCGTCCTCTGCCTTTGCGCTCCTGAGCACCGTGAGGTGGGCCAGAGGTGTTCTCCATCTTGCCCAGGCTCAGGAAGTCAAAAGGAAGAATGAACAAGTTGAATTCTCTCTTAATTCCTCCTCCTGAGCACCACGTTAATTCGAGCTAGTGATTCAACATTGCCAATATAATTGTTTATAATTGTAGAATCTTGGAACTGGAAGGGATCATAGAGATCATGTAGTCCAGGGGTTCTGAACCCCTGGGCCAGTCTGATGAAGCCTATGAACTCCTCAGAATGTTTTTAAATGAATAAAACACATACAATCCCAAAGGAAATGAGTTATATTAAGTAGAGTCATCAAACTATTTTTTAAAATCCACAAAGCCCAGATCTAGTCCACCCTCTTCATTTTTACAGATAAAGAATCTGAAGCTCAGCAACATGCAGCAACTTACCCAGGGATACACAGCAAGCTAATGGCAGAGCTTGAATTCCTAACTCCTAAGAATGTCCCCTTTACAGCACACTGGAAAGGCCCTATGTAATTTGGCCTCACTGGTGGAAGAGCAGTAATTTAGAGACAGTCTATTCCCTGTGGTAGAGGGGAAGAACGCTAAGAAGTCTGGGAGTGAGGAGATATGGGTTTGAATTCTAGTTCTGCCACTTATTTAGCCGGGTAACCTTGAGCAAAGTATTTTTATTCTCTCTGAAATGCCGTTTCTCATCTGTAAAATAGGGGTGATAATTACACGAGTGCCACCTTCTACACAGGGTTATTGTGAGGGTCAGATGAGACGACGTGCTTTGTCAACCTTAGAACAGTATAAAATATAAACTACTATTATTAAGCCTAAAATGGGTTCAAATAGAATCCTCTAACGTGATGGTGTCAAACTCAAATAGAAAGGGATCCATGAAGTCACAAACTAATTTAGAAAACCAAAAAGAAATATTAGCTATGCTGTATTTTTATTTACTTTGTTCAACACTTTCCAATTATATTTTAGTCTGATTTGGGCCACACTAGGGAGTTTGGGGGTGGCTTGGCCAGTAGGTGTGAGTTTGACTCTTCTGCGTATCTGAGGTCTCTGGGCTTTGGCCAGACTGAGACAAAGACCCCACAAAGGAAAGAGGGAAGTAAGACACTGACATTTCTCAGGCTCTGCCCTTACTGATGTCCCCCTCCCCCACTCCTTAAAGGGCTACAGGAAAAAACTAAGGCTCTGAATATGGAAAAAGAATTTTCAAGTACCCGGTTGTGAGGCCAAGCTGGGATAAGGACCCAGAAATGCCTCATCCTAACAGGTGGCCTCTCCCCCAAGTTCCCTCTCCTCTATTTCCCATCCATTCTGGAAACCTTACCCTGGAGAAGAGTGATGGTCAGGATCAGGCCAGCCAGACACAAGTCCCACTTCATACTCCACCTGTGAATCTCCTGGACAGCCATGGAACCAGCTTCCTCTATGAAGGCCCACCCACTCTCTTCCTTCACTCTTCACGCCTTGCAGAAAAGGTAAGAGGTGCTGGGCAGAACCCGTAAAGTTCACAACCACATCTCTGAATTGTGAGTGACAAGAGATCACCAGAGTGATAGGGGGTGGGGGAGGAAGGAAAGGGGACAGGGAAGAGGCAGGTGCAAACTGATCTTTCTTTCTGTGCAGGGAGGCATTGGATGCTGGGTAAGGGGAGGAAACAGAGGGTAAATAAATATGCTAGAACCCTCTAAGAGGAGTGTGGGACATCCAAAGCAAGGGGAGAGTGGTGGGATTGTAAAGACTCTGAAACCAAAGTCTTCTCTTCCGCGAAGCAATAGAAAGAAATGAAAATTGCATAATTATCATTAGTAATAATTGGTCAGTAAACATTTATTAAGTGCCTGCTATGTGCTGGATACAACACTAAGGGCTGCAGATACAAAGAAAGGCTAAAAACAGTCCCTACATTCAAGGAGCTCACAATCTAATGGGGGGCGACAACATGCAAACAACTACGCACAAACCATGCAGAGGAAAAATTGGAGGTAATTAACAGAGGGAAGAAACTAGAATTAAGGGAGATGGGGAAAGGTTTTCTGTAGAAAGTAGGATTTTAGTTGAGACTTGAAGGAAGCCAGGGAAGCCAGGAAGTGGGGGTGAGGAAGGAGAACATTGCAGTCATGTGACAGTCAATGAAAATACCTAGGTGTGTCATACAGGAGGAAAGCAAAGAGGATATTAGAGGGGGTAGAAATCGTGTAATGCATAAGAATACTGGAAAGGTAGGTGGATCCAAGTTGTGAAGAACTTTAAACCCTAAAAAGAAGATTTTACATTTGTACCTGGAGGTAACAGATTTTTGTTCTTGTCGTTCAATCATTTCAGTCACGTCTGACTCTTCGAGACCCCATTTGGGGTTTTCTTGGCAAAGACACTGGAGTGGTTTTGCCATTTCCTTCTCCAGCTCATTTTACAGATAAGGAAACTATGGCAAACAGGGTGAAGTGACTTGCCCAAGGTCATATAGCTAGGAAGTATCTGAGGTCAAATTTGAACTCAGATTTTCCTGACTCCAGGCCTGATACTCTACCCACTGTGCTGCCCCAGGGTATCAGAGAGTCATTAGAATCTACTCAGAGTGAAATTTAAGCAGGGTGACAGAGTCAGACCTGGGCTTTAGTACAATTGTTTTGGCAGCTTGGAGGAAGAGTTGAAGTGATAGAGAGGCCTGAGGCAGGGAGACCAAAAAGGAGGCTACTGAAATAGTCCAGGAGAGAATTAATTAGAGCCTGAAGCAGGATAATGGCTCTATGGATGGTGAGAAGGGAAAGAATGCAGGAGCTGTGGAGCTGGGAGTCAAATGAGAATAATTTTTTAAAACAAATTTATACAGCATTTTAAAGTTTGCAAAGTGCTTTCCTATAAGGTAAGTGGAACAAGTATTATTATTATTATTATTGTGATCCCCATTTGACAAATGAGGAAACTGAAAAGTTTAGTGACTTGCCTATTATCACCTTGCTAATAAGTGTCAGGTTCTAACCAGAGCCTTTGATTCCAGGGCTCCCATTTTAACCACTGTGACAAAATGTGATCAAATCTGCATATCACCCTAAGGGAGGAGGCTAAAGACATTCCTGGAGACATCCAGGGCTTCCCCCCCCCAAGCCCATTTATCCTAGGGTCCTTCTCCTTTACTCTAGCTCCCCTCAACAAAAACAGAGCCTCTGAAAGGGGAGTCCACATTCTCCCCTCCCTCCTACTCTGGCCCCGCCCCCCCTCCTTCCATTTCATCCAACCCTAGTCTCTGCCATAGAGCACAGAGTAAGAATAGCTTTCCCCTACTGCCTTCTTTTCTTGCCCCTGCCTATAGCCCTTTTCACTCACACAGGAGGCTGTGGTTTGGTACTCTTACTCCCTATCCTCCACCACAAGGCCCAGCAAGAGAAAGGTGGGGCCAGACTAGGTACAACTCAGCAGGACACCGACCCCAGCTGCTACCAGGGGAAAAGGACCCAAGCAGAACATGAAGTGGGACTGGCATCCAGCTGGCCTGATCTTGACCATCATTCTCCTCCAGGGTAAGGACTTTAAAAATGGGTGCAAAAAGGAGAAGAGGGTTCTCGGGGGGAGAGGCCACCCCTGAGGGTGGGGCACATGTGGATCCTCACCACAGCTTGGCCCCTTGGAGGGGTACTGGTAGGGCTCAGTTTTCCTGATGTGATCCCAGGTGGGCGCGGGGAGGAGCCATCAGTGAAGGCAGAGGTTATGGAGGACAGGACCTGAAGAACAGCAGTCCTTCATGAGGCTTGTGCAATCCTGGCACCATCTCAACCTGACAAAGCCAGAGTTCTCAGATGCACTAGAAAGAGAACTCTGCAGCCTCCATCTTGGGCTTGAAACTTACATCAAAAGCTGTGGGACCAGGGGCTCAACAGGAGGCAAAAAAGAGGCCCAAGGCTGGGGTTGGGATTAAACCTGAGTATGGTCTAATGGAGTCAGGACACTTGGATTCTAGGCTCATCTCCACTACCAGCTAGCTGAGCGAACATCATCTTTCCTAGCCTTAGGATGACTGTAACAGACTCCAAACTGGCCTCCCATCTTTTCTGTCTCCCCTCTCTCAAATACATCCTTCAACCAATTGCCTAATCATTTAGCCAGTGAAAAAGGCTAGCAAAGTCACTCCCCCTCCTCTCTTAACTCTAGGATAAAATACAAAATCCTCAGGTCAGGATTTAAAGCCTTCCACAATTTGGTTCCTGTCTGGTCTACCTTTCCAACCTTATTTCACATGATTCCCCTCCATATACTCTATGCTCCTGCCAAAGAAGTCTACCTTATTCCTCCTTGATGTTCCAATGCCCACCTCTGTGCCTATGCAGAGGCCATCCTCCATACCTGGAATGTACTCCTTCCTCTGTCCTACCTCTAGGGAATTCTAACTTCCTTCAAAGCTCAGCTCAGGGACATCTTTTTATAGAAAGCCTTTCCTGATACTCACTTTCTCTTCAAATAATCCTGTATAATCATTGCACATTTTATCTGACCAATCCTCCTCCTCCTCAGGAATGTGAACTCCTTGAGACCAGGAAGTATTTTATCTCACATCTTTGAAATCCCCAGCAGAGCCAGTGCCTGGCATGTAGTAGGCACTTAATCAATGTTTGTTCAATTGGATTGGAAGGCATTAGACTAATTGATCTCGTCATGAAAAAACATTCAGCTCTGACAGTCTACACTTCGTCTATCTGCCTTGCCCAGTGGGTAGAGCTACATTGGGCACTGAGTATCTAGGCCCAGGAACCTCTGATGCAGAGCTGAGAGAAAACTCAACAAGCCATTTTAGCTTTCACACTTCTGAGCCTGAGTGAAAGGAAAGGGACCTCTGCTCCTCCTTGCAGTGTCCAGGAAAGAAGAAACATGGTCAAGGGTTCTGCTTCCCTCTTGTCCATCTCTAGCTCACACTGTCCTGAACTAGGCTTGAAGCCAGGAGCCACAGGTAGAATTTGCTCTTTCTTGGAAGGTGATCCTGATTCCAGATGTTTCTAGTGCTGAGTCTGTACTCTACGTCTGGGACTGGTCTAAACCATACAGATAAAAACCTGGAGATTACTGGGTGGCAAGCTCCAACAAGATAACACCTGAAACACATCTCTGAGGAGCCATATGAATATATGCTCGTGTGACACATTGTGCCTCATCTATGCATTTACCATGTATTATTTCATATTCCACTTATTTGTATATATGTCATGTTGCTCTAATAGACTAAAAGCTCTTTGAGAAGAGGGGCTGTTATCTGAATTTTGTATCTCCCCCAGGAATTAGCATGGTAGGAGCTTAATAAGTGCTGGATATAACTTAAATGAATTCTGAAAAGCATATTGATCCTTTGGGCAGATATACACACATCTAGCCGACTCCAATCAGGGTTTCAGGGGCTGAAGATTTGGACTGTATAAATGCCCCTGAATCCAACTTGGCAATTGAAGTCAAAAGTCAGGCTCAATGATACCCATTGCCCTGGATTAAGATTTGAGCCACCTCAGGACTATCAGAGACATATCTTATCCATATTTCATCCAGACCTTTCCTACATTATCTTAACCCCACTTTCTTTCTATTTCTTTCCCTCTGCAGGTATTGTGGCCCAGAAAGAGCAAGGTAGGAGAAATGTCTTCTTTGTGTCCTCATATACTGTAGGCAAGATTAGACAGTGGAAAAAAATGCTGGTTCAGGAGTCAGAAATTGATATGAGTTCAAATCCCACCTTTGATAATTACCACCTATGTGACCTTGGACAAGTCCCTTAACCTCCTTGGACCTTAGTTTCCTCATCTGTAAAATGAGAGGGTTGAGCTAGATTGTCTCTGAGGTCCCTTCCATCTTCATATCTGTGAGCTAAATAAAATGAGCAGGGAAACTTGCTCATCCTAGACCCCTCAGTTTCCAACAATTAGGCTAAGGTTCTGTGAATTCACCTGTTCTTTGTGTGAAGTGGGCAGATGGGAGGTGGGGAGGTGGCAAGAGAAAGGGAGAAATGGAAGAAGAAATTGTGTCTCACATGCCAAAAAATGGGACTAGCATTTTCCAGCCATCTTCTCTTGAAAATGGTTATCACATCCTTCAGGAAGGGAACATGTTTCAGAGGTGAGATCTGTCACAAGCATGTGACTTTTCATAACCCAGGAAAAAAGCCAGTGGACTTGGATGACAATCGCCAAGATGGAACTGTACTACTAACCTGCAACTTTAAAGGGGATCAAACTGTCCAGTGGATTGCAGGGGAAGTGATCCTAAAGGAAACTAAGAAAACATTGAACCTGGGAAGTATCTTCAAGGACCCCCAAAATGTGTATTGGTGTAGAAACTCAACAAATGCAACAACACCTGAAGAGCAATCTCTCCCACTTCATGTGTATTACAGAAGTATGTATCTTCCTGCCTTTCTTTTTTGTAAGAATAAGGGGAGAAGAGCATGCTGAGCTGGAGAGCTAGAGGCTAAGTAGAGCTGGGTGATAAAGTCTGATAGGCAGCACTCAGGAACAGGCAGTAGCCCCCTAGCTCCCTTAAAAGAGACTACCTATGGGGCAACTAGGTGGCGCACTGAAGTCAGAAGGACCTGAGTTCAAATGTGACCTCAAACACTTGACACTTACTAGCTGTGTGACCATGGGCAAGTCACTTAACCTCAACTGCCTAAAAATAAATAAATTCTTTTTAAAAAAAAGAGACTACCTAACCCTATTATGCTCTGGCCCTACCTTGAATACATCCCCCTCTTGGGATGGGACAGCTCAGATGTTTCTATAAGTTAAGAGAGAGAGGAAGGTTCCGTGGGAACACAGGCTAGGAGGCTATTGGCCAAGGGCAAAGGATCTAGACAATCTGCTTCACCACAGAGATCTTAAAAGTGGTATCCATTATGGATCAGGGGAATATTAAGAGGGTATAAGTGCATTGTCCAATGATTTTTCAAGTGGTCCCTAATACTCTGCAATGGGACAACCCTGAAGGGCTATCTTAGATAGGACACATCTGCCTATGAGGAAACAGAAGTTACCAAGGAGAATATTTGCCAGTATCTTTTAAAGGTATTTTTCCTTTTCCTTCCTCAGTGTGCCAAAACTGTATTAAGTTGGATGGAGCCACTCTATCAGGCTTTATTTTAGCAGAAATCATCACTGTTTTCTTCCTTGCTGTTGGTGTCTACTTCATCGCAGGGCAAGACGGAGTATGGCAGTCAAGAGGTAAGGGACAAAAGGAAAACTCCCAGAATATTGTAGCCAAATTCCAGAGCTCCCAGGTCAAGGAGAAAATATTGCAAGCAACCAGAAAGAAACAATTCAAGTATTGTGGAAATGCAATCAGGATAACACAAGATTTAGCAGCTTCTACATTAAGTTTAGGACCACAGGGCTTGGAATATAAAATTCAAGAGGT